CATGAATTTGGCCCATGATTCAGAGAGAGATCAGCACAAACGTTTTAAAGTGAATTTTTGTACCATGTGATATCAAATCATCCATATTCATTCCCGGGACTAGAATGTGCCACGATGTAACTCTTCTCTTTTTTTGCGTAGTTGATCTTATTTTACATAATGGAAGTTCATCTTATTTTACAGAATGGAAGTTTTACCTCTAGACCTTTCTCCTAGAAGCTGGGCATGTTAGACAGATTCCAATTTATTATCAAATCTATACCAAGGAAAACAGAATGTCTGGTGGAGAGATGTCCATTTTGGTGACTATCTTGATCTGTGCTGGAGATGACTTTTATATTTGGGGAGTCATCGCAGGAAAAAAGGATTGGCCATTGGTGATACTGTGATAATGTAGTACATATGCTATTGATGAATGTTAAGTATGGGTTTATCAGCTAGTAGTGATACATGTTGGAACAGTTGAATTATCTTGGAAAGGAGGGAATTTTGTTCTATGAGGGTTCTCTTGAAGTAGGAATGCCTCCACTAAATTTGGGTAGATTTATTAGAGTTGTAGTCTTGCCGACCCTTAATAATGAACCCAAACTTTCACTCCTCAAAACAAAATCGAGACCTTTATTTGGAAAATGATGATGTTACCACAAGAATGCACTTTCTAAAAATTAAAATATAATCCTATTTCCTGAGTTTGAAAGAATCCTTCCAAGGTATAGGACTTGGTGTCTTGACCGGGTAAGTTTTGATCATCAAGCAAGGGTTGATGTAACTATGCATGAAAGAACATGGTCATTAGCTAGGTTGTTGCTTAACAATATCACTTAATAAATAATGTTGCCCTCAGAATATTTGCTGTTTTCCCTTGTCTATATTTCTGTAATGTTCTGATGATGTGGGATTCTTTTTTCCTTTAAGTTGATGTCAAAGACCAGCAAGAAGCTAAATCCACCATTCTTTTGATCTTAGATTGTGCATTGTTCAATAAAGGAGAAAATATGAGGTCTTCATCCAATGGCAACAGTGAAGAGAGTGTTCTTCTTTCACACGAGAAAATGATAACAATCCAAAGTACTCTCCTCAGAGAGAAATCTGAGACTTAAAAATAAAGAAACCCTTAGAAAGAAAGATTACTAAACCTACCCTCAACATTAAATTAAAACTCAACTTAACCCCTTAAGCTAGAAAAGGTAATCAATAAATAAAAATAATGCCGGCCAAGTCTTTTCTTTTTTTGAAACTGTGCCAAGTCCATATGTTAAAATGTAAATTCAGCTTAGCCCAACTCTTTGATGCGAGTTGCGCTGTAGATGCTCTTGCACTATAGTAGTACAATGCTGTTTTCCTTAATGAGAATCTCAGTTCTATATCCCTTGTAATGGTAGAGGTTGCCCCAACTCATGTATGTGTTAGGTGCGCACAAATATTGAGCATGAGGACTATATATGAACATCATCATCATCATCGTCAGAGCTTTTTCACAACTAATTGGGGTTGGCTATATATGAACATATATATTAAAATGATGGATTAATTTTTACTTGTAAATTTCAATTTGAAAAAGCGTAAAAATTATTTCATACTCTCTTTTGTCGTGGAATGGCAATCGTATATTACTATATTAAAATAGAGTCATTCTTGTAGAGGTTCCAGACTTTGTTCATTGTTGCAAAGGTTAAATTGCTTTATCGCTTGCTTTCATTTCAAGGACGGCTTGGCTATTCCATGTTTTCATGAAAAAAAAATCTTCAAGTTGAAAATTTCTTCATTAGAATTCAGGCTCTCAGATACTTCTCTAATTTTGTCGCACTAGAAATGTGTCTGATCAGTTATACTCATGCAAGATTGTGTGATTATCTCACAAATGCAGGCCTATGATCTGCTTCTTTTTCTGTGATGTAAGTCACTCTAACATGTTATGGTGTGGCTTATGTACATGCATAAAAGCAAAAGGTTTGCAGGCTTTTGCAAATTGCAACTTCATTGGAATATCCTGACGATCCTAACCAAGATTTGTGGAATGAGATATACCTGAGATCTTCCCTTGTATACCAGGTTTAGTACCCATTGCATGTTTATCATTAAATACAGAATTTATGGTCTCAAATCTACCTCAAAGCTTACTTAGAAACAATTCCACCAAGCTCTACAAATTGAATCATTAGAATTTTATAACATTTCTATATTTGCAAGATTTATTTCATAGCTTTATTGCTTTATGCAGATCATATATCTTTTTTGGAATAAATTATGTGGATCATATTATTAATGTTAGAGATGATACAGCCAGCTTTCTTTGTCTGGAGCATTATCTGTAAATTCAGTTTTAGAAAAAAAAGTTGGAAGAGTTCCATTTCTTTGAAAGTTGTAATGGGGTTACATATATTTCCAGGATTATATGACATCCCCCAAGCATAAGTACTTACTACTAGAATGATGCTAATCGTCAGTACAATATTGAACATTTTCACTCAAGTCGAATGCCTGTAAATTGCTTGCTCCTGAGGGTGGTTGGATTCATATTTGTCAGCCATGTAGAACTCTTGTTTGCTTGACCAGACATCTCTTGGTGCAATTCTCATATTCAATCAGTTTATGTATGCTTCTTTTTTATTTTGTTTTAATCTTTTTTAATGTGTGCTCCTATTTCTTAAAACACTTCATGTGTGCCCCTTAGTGGTCCCTGATGGTTACTAACATAAGTATGATCATCACCAAGGTGAGGATTGCTCTCTCTTTCATCTCTTGCGGTTGTTAGTATGTGTAAATGCATACTGAAGCAATATTATGAGCTAGCCAGTAGCCACTGATCCATTGGAGGGAAGTGATTATTTATTTGTATCAAATGATATTATCTAGTTATGGGCCATGCCGCTTATGCTCAGTATTACTTGAGTTTTCCCACTCTTATGTGCTGATGTCAAGAGTGGCTTGCTATTTGGAATAAATTTTGGGTTTTGTGGGCTAGTAAAATATAATTTTGCTCCATTTTCAAATAATCGGAGAATTCCCATTTATAGAGTGATCTATTCCAGATAGTCATGATTGCCTGTCATTAGGCAGATTGTGTTAACAAAGGTAAATAGACAGGCCCTCCAGTTTCTGGCCTACCTTGAAAAAAATGGGACTCCTATGGTCTTGATTTAATCTGTCCTCAGTATTTTTTATTTTTGCTTTTTTTTTTTATGGCTAACAAGATTCTGGGCATGGTAGAGCCAACTTGAATCGAGTGAGTGCTAAGTCACCACAGACGTTTGAAGCTGTGAAATAAAGAATGCCTTTGATATTCTTATCTGTTCTTGATGGAAGATTGTGCTTGTTGATCTTGCATGGCCATTTTGAGGGGATGCATGAAAACCTTGTGCAATATTCATATTAGGTTTACACTCTTTAAGTGCTTTATGTCTCAGAGAAGCCATTGATGGCATGTGTTCCCTCGCATTTCACATTACAACAATTTTGATTGTGTCACACAGATCTCTTTTCCTCACCAGGTTATGATTCCAGGTGTTTTCTTGACTTCGAGGTCTGTAGTTTTTGAGATTGTCGATTCTATTTATTGGTTCTTGCATGCTGCTGCGAGTCTCCTATGTAACCAGATCTTTAGTAATATTGCATCATCGCAGTGGCTACATTTTACCTTTCTCCACTCTCTTAAAGTCTCCATGATCAAGTTTCCTTTCTCCAGGTTTTCAAATTCTTAGCAATTAATTATTCTATTTTCTGCATTTTTTTTCTCTGATTGGTCTCTAAAATTTTATGTAATCATATGATGATATAAACCTAATATGTTTCTTAGGGTCTTACTAACAGTTTTCTTATCAAAAGCCTTTCTAGCATAAACTTACCTATGAATTCATCTACTATTGGTCCCAAGTTCTTTGAGTGTAAATCTTTTTTAAGAAATTTTGTCCATATGTTGGACCAAATTTGTAAGTGATCAAATAAGTTTTATATGGAGTTTAGGCCCCAATTGAGCTGAGTTTTCGCTCATATGATAGGGTCCATTTCCTAATATTACTACTATCGTTAGCTGCTGACCTACATATTATGCATATCTCATTTCCTATTCTTCCTGTTCGTTGTCCTATCGATCCGAAGTTGAAATGTGTTCCATGGTTCCTCTAAGATACTTTGCAAGAGGCATACACTGATCTTACTGAATCTTATGTGGGAGAAGAATCGGCTTATTGCGAGACTTTTTGACTTAAACTCTTATTTGGAGTTTCCACATTCCATACGATATTTGTGCCATTCTGCAATGATGTAAAGTATGATACTCATTAGGCAATAGTTAATGAGGTAAGAATATTAAATGGGATTCTTTTCATCCCAGAGAGATATCTTTACTTTTTTATTGGTGGTTGCTTGTTCCATCAATTCTAGAGTCTAGTTTAACATTACATGTTATACAATATACTTAACCTGTTCCACATAAACTGTGCATAATTGTTTATACTAGTTTCTTGTTTTTTGTTTCTCCATGTGAATGAACTTGAATCCTTCATTTCTTGGCTATCTTTTGTTATTTTCAAGCAACAAGCTGGTACTTTCTGATTTATGGTTTTGTTACTTTCATAGTTTTTGAGAGTAAGTATAATTAAAATCTAACGTTCTATTGAAAACAATGGTCCATTGGGTCATCACTGTGCAATGAATGTTGGACTCTGAAGAGATAGGGGACAAACCAGTGGGGTCATCCACAGTTCTGGTAGGTACCCCTCACTCCATATCGCTGTCCATTTCATCTGACTGTGATGTCCTATAGGGACCATGGTTTTCTATAATCTCAGACCATAGGATTATAGTGTCTCTCATTTGCCCCAAAGATTTCCATATTTTAAATGTTTTTGCTAGAATAACGATCCATTAGGTGGTTCTGTTCTTTTTGTTCTATTTAAATTTTGTGCTAAACTTGATTCTGATTGAATTATAATTATATGCTGAGACATTCTGTGGTAAGCTCAAATTAAGGGTGAAGTAATGGCGTGGCCCCTATACAGGTTCCATCAATTACCTGAATTCGACCAAGGAAAACGCAGCTGCCGTAGACGCTTGGCTGGTCACAATGAACGCCGAAGAAAGCCACCACCCTCAACATTGTCTGCACGCTATGGACGATTTCCCTCATCTCTCTATGGTCAGATATTTCAATTTTAAACAAAATATCTTCTAGATAATTGTTAAACCTTTTCGTCTTTTAATAAACTAATTCTGCTGCTCATATCTTGTAAGAGTGTGACCAAATTATAATCAGATTTTATTTACCAAAGTTAATGTCAAATTTTCAAATTCGATATGAACTATATTTTTGGAAGAAAAAATAGGAATGATTGCGGACACCTTGTATTTCAGAAAGGCCAGTGCCGCTAATCTACCTATGACACTGGTGTTTTCCTTGATTTTTGATGTGCAAGTTGATGTTTTCTTTTCAGGTTCAAGTGAAAATTCTGAAATAACTAGAACACCAGAATTTCATGGATGGATAAATATAAGTACCCCTTGAATTTATGAAGCATCCCACATCTGAATTACGTATCTCAATGACATCAGATTGCTGTTTTCCTTGTGGAATTGATATGATCAACCTCCTTCATAAATTTCATGAAACGACAAAAAACTCTATTGCCAAAATTTCCATCTTGTTTTGTATTTAGAAATGAATACAATAGGCAGACATTCTAGGAACTTTCAGTATGCATACCCCATTGAACAGTAAAATTATAACCAGAAAACAAAAGAGCAAATATTTCAGCAACATCTATTGTGGTCCATCAACTATTCAAATTGTTACCAAAACCGGCGATATTGTTTTTACGGCTGTCCATTGAAGAAAATTTTTCTTACCTATGTAGAAGAAAATCAACCTTTTCTCTTACAAAGTTTTAAAGAACGGTGACTTTTTCTTACCCATGCACAAAAAAGGGAAAAGGAATGCTTTTTTGTCGCGTCTTTCCCCTTGCTCCTTTTTGTGACATCTTCGAGCACAAACAGGAGATAGCAGGCACGGCGGCTTTGTCATGGACTTCTCTCACCCAAAGCCTCTTGGCAAAGACATTTGGCCCACTATCAAAGTCAGTGATCGCATACCCTTCGCCACGCCTCAAATGCCACCCTTGAAGTCCCTCACTCACCACCACCCTTGGCACTCAAACACCTCCACCACCACCATAGAAACACCAATAAATGGTGGTGGTGAGATATTAACCCAAGGTATCCACACTTATTTACAGCAAGGCTCGACTGTGGGGCCCACCTTCTCGGGCCATGGAGCCCTGCCAAGCGAGTGCAGTAGCTTCCCGAGAATGTCGGACTCTGGTTGTGCTCTCTCTCTTCTGTCAACTCATCAGCCATGGGGGGCCAAGGTACTAGGCCCAGGCCCTCCATTGGACTCGATTATCAATGAGGAAGGCCCATTGGATACCCAAGTGGCCCCCCTCAATCTGTGCTCTTCCTTGTCTCAGGGCCCAATGGCCCCAGACCAAAATGGGCCTCCTTACTCCGGTGAACTCGAGCTGCTCCAGCATAATAGGCAGTTCGTGGACCTTGCTCATTTGAAGTCGTCTTATGGCCATGTGACGTCTAACCAGCATCTGATGCAGTGGGGGCTTTAGTGGCCGCTTAAGACTCTTTGATAAAGCTATGGGTATTATCCATGGCGTTTTTGTTGGGATTGGACCTGTTATCCAATTATGTTTATTAATGTTATGTTTGTTAATGTTTTTGGACATATCTAGGGGGAACACAGAAATCGGGCAAACAATGCTCAGTGTTCTGTTAATTACTTTCTGCCTCTTGCTGCCTACTAGCATATAAAATTGCTTGGGGTCTTTGGATCTTAGATAATTATGTCTCTCTCTCAGAGACACATACATATGCTAATTAGCTCCTAGAAGTTTGGCGCTCTCTCTCTCTCTCTCCACATTGCATGGCAATTTCATGCTTTAGTTCCAAAATACGTATACGCTCTCTCACACCACGCACACACTGGCACGTATGCTAGTTAGGCCATAGACATTTGCCTCTCTTTCTCTCTTTCTCCCCCCACATTGGATGTCAATTTCATGTTTTTTTGTTGATTTTGTTTTGGGTAAATCAGTGGAGCAGACAGGTCCCTACTCGTTTTTTCAATAAATTGAGGGAGTTATATTTTGAAGGAGTTAATTGAGGGTGTCAGCTGTGAGAATGGTTATCACGTTGTGATAATTAGGTGTGGGGATGCTACCACCACAGATCCCAGCACCTTTTGTTCCAAAATATGCATGAGCTGAATTTCATAATCCATGAAGCTAATCTTTTGCTGAAATTTCCCTAGTTAAAAAGCATTTGAATGAAGGTGCTCGTGCTTTATGTTAGCTTCCTGGCCAATCTTTCTTTTGTGGTATAGAAGCGTATGTTTTAGCATTTCGAAATCGATCCATCTTCCCTTCCCTCCTCTCAGTACTGAATGTCAGACAAGAATCACAGGACCTACGCGGGTGTGAAAGCCTGTATGTTTTAAGAATAGGACCCGGGCTTAATTGTTTAGCATTTGACGATTTGCAATGTTAAGACCTAAACTCTAAATTTTCATTTCCTTTTTAGGGGAAGAGTCCTCTTCTCACTTACTCACCCCAAAAGAAAAAAATGAAAATATTTCCATGCTCTTTATAAAAAAGTTTCATTTTTCAATAAACCCAAAGTTCTAAACTATAGCTTGAAGGGTAGAAATTCTAGGTTTTATATCTTTTAATCTTGTGGTATAATTTTATCCCCTTTAAACCTCCATTATTTTTCTCTCTTCACATATATTCTACAAACCCCTTCTCTTTTTCTGTATTTCCCCCAATTCTTTCTTTCTCCCCCTCGTGTCTCTCACACACACTCTCTCCCTCCATATTTCCCCAATCCCCGCTCTCTCTCCCCATTTTCCCCCAACCGCTCTCTCTCTCTCTCTCTCTCTCGCTCAGCCCAAACCCATCCCTTGCACAAATCACGAAAAAACCAGCAAACAATTGCCCGGAAAAACCAAAGAGAATCCCACAAACACAGCCTCTAAAAACATGCCTAATTCCCAAAGCGGAGTTAGGACACTTGGTTAGCCACCTTTCTCTTGGTCCCTATAATGGTGGCAGCTGCTGTCGAGAGAAGAGATCCTTCGCCTTTGGGACACTCTCGACTTAAACCTCGTCCAAATGCTGTGTTCCTCTCTCTTCATCGTTTTCCATGACTACTCTTTACTTTACCGTAAAGCCTCGCCCCATTTACTTGGTTGATTACACATGTTATAAGCCGTCAGACAGTTGCAGATTACCAATCTCTGGCTTCCTAGAGCGTGCTAGACTTTTGCCGTCGTTTGATATAAAAAGTATAAAACTTCATGTTCCAATTCTAGAGCGCCCCGGTTTTGGAGGAAATGAATGCGTCCCTCCTCATATCCACTGCACACCACCGGTTTTGGACGAAATGAATGCGTGCCTCCTGATATCACTGTACACCACCAGAACTGACCATGGCCAATGCTCAAGCTGAGACTAAGCTTGGTATCTTTAGGGAGAGTACATGAGAGAGAAAATTTCGAGGGAAATTGACCATGGCCAATGCTCAAGCTGAGACCAAGCTTGGTATCTTTAGTCTTTAGGGAGAGTACATGAGAGAGAAAATTTTGAGCGAAGAGAAAAAGGATGGGGTTCAAAAATGACGCGCCTTTTTGGATTTGTGCAGACTAAAAAAGTAGGTTTAAAAGGGGTAAAATTAATCTGCGGGATTAAAAGATATAAAACCTAATATTTTTATGCTCCAAGATATAAAACTTAAGATAAAGAGATATTTTTCCAAAAAAAAAAAAATTTATATGTTTGACGCCCACTAGAATATGAAATGAGTTACTTATGAAATTAGAACTCATAATAAAAGGATAGCTGATATCTTGCATCGACAATATATTTTTCCTCTCAACATCTTGTAATATAAATTGTAAATTACTCGGAATATATCTGAAACTATTGTCTTCTGATTGACTTAATAACTATTAAGTTTACACTATTTATTAGCAACTTTCAAGTTTCAAACATTTCATGCACTAGGGAGATGTTTGGTACTTTCCTGTTAACCAATATAAAAACTAATAAGTTTATTTCAAGGACAGGGTTTTGGTGCACCTGTTCATGCATGGCAATCATGGATTTTGGAACCAAATTCATAGGGCGATAATCTTGACCATCGATACATCAATTGAAGTTTAAAAAATTAATCTATTTTGAAGTTCTATTTTTTTGTTTCATTCATTTTACTTCTTTGTAGATCAATCAGCTCTGCCCTGATCCAAGGTGTAAACAGATTTTCAATAATTTAGGATAGGCTCCAAATCCTAAATTCCTGGGAAACCGAGGTGACCCATGTGCCTTTGGACACAATAAACTTTTCCTTGGATAATGGAAAACTAACCTCATGCATTCCCGGTCGAGTCAACAATTATGACAAAGGGGACGGGTGCAGAAAACCAATAGTCCACTGGATCATAAATGTCCCATTTTATCAGAAGGTGATGACTCCACCGAACTATAGTTTTTAGTACCATAGTCCATTGGATTATACTATTTTCCCTGCGAATAATTCAAGCATTTTAAACATGTCCAAGTTCAGGATTTCATATCATCTATAGAAGACTACCATTTTCTTCAATTTTCATAAATCCTGTTCGCATAATCATCATCGAAAAAGAGCAAAGCAACAGCCAACAAGGCTTCTATCAGAGAACCATAAGGAATACAAATGACATTCATATTGGTACTGTGTAAATATCCAGCTCAATGCTTGCATTCAATGGTCATCCTCCTCGATTCCGGGGCAATTAGATAATAGGGCCTCGCCCGATTCATACTGAAAGAGGAAATGGATAAGTAAGAACATAACTTATTGCATTGCAATTCCTAAAGGGAAAAGAAAAAGTGACTTTGCCAAGAGAAAGGTAGGATCGTAGTCCAATGGCATAAAATAACACAGCCAAAGGTCACATATGCCTTCACTGATGGATTACTGCAGATTAAGTGTACCAAATTGAGTATCTCTATGGGTCCATGACATTTGAAATCCAGCTGTCAGTCATTAGAACGAATGGTTGATGTACCCCTGGACTATGTTCTTCCATGGTTCCATCGGGCCAAATTATGCTTACCAAACTACAGAAATCCCAGTTAGCGTTATCCGAACTGGAGAACCCAGTCCAATCGGTCTGACCAGCCAAACCAGTTTGGTCCGCTTAAAAATAGGATCTTAATAAAAAACATGTCACTTTAGTAAAAATTCTCAAATATATTTTTTTAGCTTTGACCAGTTTTCATCAGTCCAACAAGTTTGATTACTGCTTGAACCACTAATTGAACCTATTCAGTTTTGATATTAACGATCCAAGTTACTCACCTTACAGCCACAGTAAAGGCAGTAATTGTGTTCATCCCTCAGCTTCATCAATATATCTTGCAAGTCCTGTGGACGAAATAGAATGAGTACATCAATTCATGAGCAACAGCAGAGTTCATATTAAAAGTTAGAAATAATACGAGTAAGAATGGCACAGGCATGGAAGTTTAAAAATTCAAAGAAAAATAAATTATTACCAGGATGAAAAATTGAATTGTAAATTGAGGTGATTCAAGAGAATTGGGTTTAAGATGATGGATATTTTATCTTGTCAAATAATTTGGTGGGAGGGGGTTGGAGTTCTACTCTCCAGTCAGAATTTTCAAGCAACAAATGCATAGCATAGTCTTCCCCTCTCCTTCGACCCTCCCCCCCCCCCACCCCAAAACACACCCCAAAAAAAGACGAAAAAAAGAGATGGTGAAATGAACATAATAGAAGCAAGACAAGAGCAGATGCAGTGGCAAGGCATTGAATTTACATGGAGTGAGGTCAAGGGTGGTTTAATCCTTGAAGACTGTTCAATGTCATACACTTTCTTTAGAACCAAGTGCAGTTTTATTTTTAACAACGTTGTCTTGGCAACATAGAGCATCTTGATGATGATAGAATCTATTGCATAATCAAATTCAGGTCCAAAGCCACCCATTATAGGACGTTGGAAGCTGCTACTTTTTCTTAAAGCTTCTATCATCATTTCATGGCTGAATTTGAAGGATTAATAGCTCTCGTAAATGAATCATGAATGATCATGCAATAGGCGCTATCATCATTTCATCTACAAACAATGCCATAAACGTAGACTATAAAATGCTCGATGAAGAATTAAATTCAACAAAATTTCATCCTTGAGATCACTCTAGAAACAATGTAACCACATGCCTCAGGCCCCAATATCTCAGAGTAGCCCCTGTTAAATAGACGCTCTATCAATCACTCCACAATGCCAGTACCACTTACAAAGCATTGCCCATTAGTCCTCAAATGCTTAATTTCCAAAACTCCCTACTCTCTGGATTTACATCTCGCTTCCAATTTCAACAAGTAGAACATGTCTGCATAAAATCCCTCAAGATGTTTCTTCTAATAATCTAAAACACAGGAATGCCATGCCCACTTTGGAAGAAAATCACACCTTTTTCTAATAACTATCAAATTGCTGAAGGAAGTTCTATGCATTATGGAAAACAAGGAGGAGTTTCATGTAAAGAGAGCAAAATCAATGCTTGGCAGTACGTAGAGATGAATTGAATTTTAATAGAGGAAACAATTTCACAATAGTCATATACAGCAACATCTACTCATGGTTCATAAACAAATCCATTTCCTAGCAACATTTCAAGAAACTATAAAGGCCAATTTGTTAAGAAATTACCTCTTCAGTGATCACCTCTTCTTCTTCTTCTTCCTTCTCCTCATCTTTCTCTTCCTCATTGTTACCCTTCTCTAATTCTAAAACATCAGTACCTTCAAGCTGCCCCAAAGCAGCTTGAGCTTTCTTGTAGTCGCGATATATACTTCGGTTTCTCCACAAGTTTTTTTGCCTATCCCCATACTCTGCCATTAAACTCTCTTCTTTTCTTCTCGTTCTTTCCATTATAATTATCTCTCTCTGAGCCTTCAATTTTTGAGGGTCTTCACTACCAAGACCTGCTCGAGACCTCTTTATCTCAAGACCGACTGGTTCAGTTCTACCTTGCCCTTTTTTTCCCAGTGCTCCTCCAGGCTTATACCTAGAAAAGAAAATGAAAATCAATGCACATATAAAGAAAAATAGAGGTAAGTATAAGGTAATCCCAACATAAATGTTCATATCTGTAAGTGGGTGCAAAGGATGGTTAACCTAAGTGTGAAGATAGGCTACATAGAGAAAGAAACCCATTACTGTAAGAGAAAATGAAGATAATAATCAACTGAATCTGATTAAGATAAAATTTGTTTTATAAGTCTGCTACTAATATCTGTATTCAATGAGTTAACAGAGAAACCGATAATTCTGAAAGCAAGGAAAGTGACGGGCAATCACTGAAACAAATATTCATAATTGGAAATGCATGGTACATCCTTTATGAGGTAAAAGAGAAATCCATTGATCTAAACATAGACATTTAATTATTTAGCATCTAAAATTTGGAACTAGGGCATTATTTGTACGAAATTACAGGAAAAATTGGGTTTTTCAAAGAGATGTTTTAGAGGTAAAGAAGGAAACCCATTAAGCTAAAAAATGAGAATAAACCTGAGTTGGTTTTAGAACTATATTAATCACTGGAGAAGTTATTCATCAATTTCAAAAGAACAACTGTAATGACTGTTCTTGCCAGCTATTTAGAGAGAGAGAGAGAGAGAGAAATCAGACAATTTATTCGATCAGGTTCACAATTATTTGACAAATTCTTTAGCTTTTCCTCCATACCCCATCTGTTGAAGCATTTTGAACCCAATGTTGGAAGATGGCACCGCCTCTTTGCTCTTTGCCAATATCTCTTCATCTCCTTCTTGCTGCTGTTTCTCTCTCTTCAACTTCCTTCTCTCCTGCCAATTCATAGCTCTCTTGGGATGCCTCTTATTTTCCACCTGTTTCTGCAATCCTTCAATGAATAGAGAGTTATAAGGTTCTATTGATACAGGTATACAACTACAAAGGGTGACGAAATTGCAGAGAGGGTTTACCATTTTAGAGAGAGAAGGGTGAGAGGTTTCAGGGGGCAGAAACTGAGAGAGATCGCCCATGTAATCTTCTTCTTCTTCCGCCATCACTGAAGAAAAGAGAACTGCCACAAAGAGTTAACCCTACTTCTTTCTCTCTACTTCTTTCTCTCTCTTCTGTGATACGGTGGCATAAGCATCGAAGAGCAGTTTGAGAGAGAGAGAGAGAGAGAGAAGTCAATGGAAGAGAGAGGTGGAGCGAGAGAGAGGGAGAGGGGGAGATTTGCCAGGGTTTAAGATATTTCTGAAGTGTTGGAGCGGACCATTCTGTGCACGCGCTCCCTTGGAGTTGTATTTCTTAGAAACACAAATATTTTAGGACGCAACTTTCAAATCATAGAAAATAAAATTTAATCATAGAATTTCATTTTATTTTTTCAAATCTCTTAATAAGAAAATAATATCTCAATTATCATAATTTTATATTAAAAAAATCGTCTAGGGTAGCTATTTTGGCAGACAGAGTGACTGTACATTTTGTCAATATGTTCCATAGGAGCATGTTGTATTGAAAATTTTAGATGAGAGTTTTTTTATAGAAAAAAAAGATGAACTGGAGTTCTTCTGACCCTCATAAAATTGGATAGTACTATTCAATCTTGAAATGTTATTTAGCCTAGGCTCGGGTCGGGCCGGGGCCAAATAAAATAAAAGAAAAGAGAAGTTTGGGGTCGAGACCTTCAAGATGCATTGAAGGATGAGTGTTGGGGAAGAGTTTATAAGTGAGTGAATATGAAGAGCAGCTACGATGCTTTTCTGTGGACTGCGATCATATTCCCAATTTCAATTTTATTATGACTCCAGGGGAATGCCCGGTGAAATTATTGTAGAAATAGTTACCTGGGTATAGAGAGAGGCTCTCGGAGGAGAGAAGGAACTTAAAGATGGGTAGAGAGATAATAGGCCCGGCCCAACCCTCCATTAGCCCGGTTCATTCCCTGCAGACCGATCCTCGCATGGCCTAGCCCCGTCCTTGCCCTCAGACCCTGGCTGAGCTCTTGGGCCACGGGATGCAGCCCATGCCCTAGTTTTTTTAAGGCCAGACCAATAAATTTTTATTGCCTCTTGGCTGGCTTCTTTGTACACATCCATGATCTAAAGCCAAACTATTATAAGTCTCCAAGTGATCCTTTGTTTTTTTTTTTACACCACCTACGAATTGCATTTTGAGATGTAATCCAACAAAAAATTTCAAACCTTGAAATAAGCCCTATAATTGTGCTTCATGGGTCGTTGTAAATCCACATGGTCCCAAAAAAGTCAAATGGTAATAACCCCCATGATCTTAATCAAGCCTCCAACTCCTCACCTTGGGTTCCCACTAAACTCCCATCAAAATTTAATTTAAAAGTATTTGTCACCTGGCGTTCCCACCTATGAAGAGCTCTCTTTTTAGTTATACCCATATCGACCGCATTCTCCACAATAAAAACAAGATCAACTTTTAATATACCTCAGTAGGACATTTCACTTGTCAGAGAAAGCAATAGTAAACAACTTCCAAATCACGTGACGCTAGCAAAAGTCAAAATCCTTATTTCGGTTGCATGGTCTTTTTCTCGTCCTAACCACTTCAAATCAAATGTTGACATAACTTCATTCTAAAATCTTGGGCTTGTAGGTGGTGGATGAGTTCTTAAAAGTGATGATGGCTCTTTAATTGCTGTCTTTGCCAACCCTTAGGCATTGCTTCAAATAATTTTGCAAAGTTTTGTGCCTTACAAACATGGGTGGATTTGACCATCCGGCTTAATTGTTTTCCCTTAAAAGACCCAAAGTGATTCCTCATTATTAGTCAACGTTATCCATGATTGATGCAAAACTCCATGGGCGCTCTATATTGTTGTTGCTAGTTGTTGACATAAACTTTCAAGGATTGTGTTTGGTTCCTAGACCACATCTTTTGTGGGACAATATAGTGGTTGATGTACTCTCTAAGAAAGCCACAACTTTTTCAGAGGCCACTGATTGGTGAACTAGACCACCGGAATTTCTTTCTCTTGCATTATTTTATGTTGTAGCACAAATGCCATATTCTAAAGATGAAACTTTATGAG